CAACACCACACTCCTCATATGCCTACCCCCATTGCCCGCTCCTTTCCCACCGTATTCATTCCCCCCTGTGAATTTATACCAGTTCCCCACGCGCGCAACCCGGCTTTTCACGGTGCTCCAGGCGGTGAAGGAGAAGTTTGCGACGCGCTGACCGTGTTTTTTCTGCGTTTTTGGGTCTGGGGCGGAGAGGATGAGCGTGCAGGTGGCGGAGTCGGAGAAGAAGAGGGATTTGCAGTACATGTAGGATTGTTCGGCGCAGGTGAAGGGGAGGAAGGGGGTTGGGTTGGTGGGGGTGGTGGTGGCGTGGGTTTGTAGGATGGAGGATGCTGAGATGGGTGGTGCTGGAGTGGTTGTGGTGGAGGTGGATGGGGTAGAAGGGGGTGGTGGTGGAGCGAGGTCGACAAGCCATTGGAGTGATGCGATGGGGATGGTGAAGGGGCTTGGGTGCCATTGGCAGAATATGCCGTAGGGCTTTTCGTTGGGCATGTAGAAGAAGACTGTTCCTTTCTCTGTATCTTCTTCGGTGGGTGTGGCTTTCTTTGGTGGACGGCCGGCGGGGTGGGGTTTGCGCTTCCCCATTTGTGGGTTGTGAGTGTGGACTTGAGCTGTCAGATGTTGTGAGAACGAGAGGATGTGGTTGGAAGAAAACAAATTGTACTTTGGGAAAGACGAGTATGGGGTGTTTGGCTCTCATCAGGTGCTTGGTGATGGGTCGTAAGCTAGTTCTGTAGTACCATGGTTTGCAAAGGGCGCAAGGGCGACATTTGCAATTAATCGTTTTTTAGTAAGATTTTATAAGACACATGCTACGGCTGTTGATTGTGTGCTCTTTTGAACGTCTTACAGCGCCGAACATATCAGGTCACTACCTTCGCACGTATGTACATCTCTTAGTGTGTGTACTCGGAGAGTTTGCACGGTGATTGAAATTATCCTGGTTGTAAGTGAAGAGAGTCGAGATCACAATGAGGCGTTCGAGTGCGTGAGTAGTGTTCCCTTGGGTCACTTCTGGTCTAGATGTTTTTTCTTCGTCTGTTCTTGTCTCTGTCAGTCGTGCCGAATTTTGTATAGTTCCACGCGCTTCAATCGGTGTCCCTGCGACAGTAACCTAAAATGAGAGTTGATCCTGCACAGTGATTGGAGCTCATGGCCTGGGCATCTCGTGTCAACGAATGAAAGTAAACGTGATGGTAAGTCCATCGGAATGTTACCTCAGCCAATACACGTCCACGCATTCGCAACTTTCGTGGAAACCATGGTAGAGAGATAGCTGAAGCCAAGGTCGACAGCGAACATATAATTCAGCACATGTAAGATTTAAGTTTCAGCTCTTACTATCCATAAATATTACGCCTCGATATCCCTCAATCTGTCAACAAAAACTACGTCCACCGAGATGTCTGAACCCTCTTTCCGATTTCTGGACCTTCCACCAGAGTTGCGATGCATGGTCTACGAGCAGCTCGAAATGACGACGAAGCATTACACGCTCGACGACGCGCCGGACCAACCCTCCGCAATCACATTCGTCTGCAAAACGTTACCCGTCCAGATACTGGCGACATCCAAGTTAATCAATACCGAAGCCATGCAGATTTTCAGGCCCAGAATGCTGCAGCTGAAGGCGCAACCAATGCGCTTCTGTATCAGAGTGAACTCCAGTAAATCTCTGTTCGTCTTGCGTCGTTCGCTCTCGCGCTGCTTCCGATACAACCCTCGTCCCGATGGCTCACCACCATTAAGCGAGGCGGCTGAAGCTTTCATCGACCGCTGTGTTAAAACCCGTCGCCTAGCAAGCAGCTGCCGCCATGTTGAGATAATGTTGACCGACAAGGACGCGCCAAGTCTCACACGATCCATATGCTTGTTATACATCAGCAACAAGTTCGCAAGGCGATACCACTTGAAAATTACTCTGCTACGCAAGGAGCTAGCAACCGAAACCCATCCTGCCAGTTGGCATGCATCGCAGGATGTTGGGCGTTTGTTGGGGGTGAACGAGAGGGTGCATCTGCATCTCGCAGATAAGCCAGATGCTGAGCGATGGAGGAGGGATTGGGAAGAGACAACAAGTGTGCCGGACGCATGAAGAGCACAGAAATGTGTGTTTGACCAAGGCTGGACGTCATCAAGATCTCTTGTTCGAATACGAATGGAAATTGCGAGAGGATCTAGGAAGCCTTCCTCGTGGTTGCAGTCAAGGAAATGACAGGGAGCATAGCCGGTACGCTGGGATGCCGAAATCTTGCTGGGAACGTCAGTCTTACGTGAAGATACGCACAGGACATTCGGAGCGATGAATGTAGTACATCTGATTGTATGGCATCAATAGAATAATGCGACGCTGAGAGAACCCCCAGGTTGCGATAGAGTGTGATGCAGCGTTCTTGGGGTTGAGCGGAAGTCATCCGACAAGCTCGTATTCAAGACATGCATGCTCGTATGCGGTGCGATGTCGTTGCAGCTACGTTGTGGTTACGTGCAGCAATCCTGCAGGGACTCTTTGTCCTTCTGAGCTCAAATGACGCCGTCGCGTGTCCACTCCTGCCCTCGATCTTGCAACACCATCTATTGATTTCTTCTTCCCCAGTCGTTCGCCATGACCTTGGTATGCTGTCTAGAGGCAGCAGGGCCGATTTGGAGCTGTCGCCTGACTTACCTCGCATGGCTGGTTTAGGTTTGACAGGTGCTCCCCCTCAACCGAGGTCACGCGCATCGATCATGATGCTAGTCAGGCACACCGTCCGAGCTTCCTTTCCCCGGACGTGCTTAAGATGAATGACGCCGACCGTGTCTGACCGCACCGGGCAATGCCACGACATCCCTCGAGGGCCTACACGAGAGGAGTTACCTGATCTCGTCTTGTTTCATTACTCAAGCCATGACGAAAGCTCGCTACGACTTCAAGACGCGCCCGGTCGCGCACCCGGACGCTATTGTCGCAGGCGACAAGTACCGCTTCACCATCCTCACAGATGGCTTACTCCGCTTTGAGTGGGCCGAGGATGGACGATTCGAAGACCGCGCGAGCACCTTTGCCATCAACCGCAAGCTAGCTGTGCCCGACTTCTATGTCTGGGACCGCGGCCACGGCATCGAGATCGTCACCAAGCGCTTCCACGTTGTGTACGACAAGAAGAAGTTTAGCGCCGATGGCTTCAAGATCCACCTCAAGGGCGACGTGACGGGCACATGGACATACGGACAACAAGTCTCCAACTTGGGCGGAACAACCCGTACACTAGACGGTGTGAACGGCAGGGCCAACCTAGGTCCTGGTGTGCTGTCGAGAGAGGGCATGGCTCCTTTGGATGACACCAAGTCCATGCTCTTCGAAGACAATGGGTGGATTGCTGGACGCAGGGGTGGCGACAGGACCGATCAGTACATCTTCATGTATGGTCGCGACTACCGGGAAGCCATGCGTGCATACTACGCTGTCTCAGGAAGCCAGCCCCTTCTTCCACGATACGCCATGGGCAACTGGTGGAGTCGATACCACGCATACGACGAGAAGGAATATCTCGATTTGCACGATCATTTCGACCGCGACGATGTACCCATGAACGTGGCGGTTGTGGATATGGACTGGCATCTGGTATGGGATCTGCCTGGCGGTGTCAATGGCTGGACCGGATACACATGGAACAAGAAACTGTTCCCTGACCCAGACGCTTTCATGAAGAAGCTGCATGATCGTGGCATGAGGCTGACGCTTAACCTGCATCCAGCGGACGGATTCAGGCCTCACGAAGAGCAGTACCCTGAAGTAGCCAAATACCTTGGTATCGACCCGCAGTCCAAACAGACGATTCCTTTCGACTGCACGGATAAGAAGTTTATGGACGCATACTTCGACATTGTACACCACGAGCACGAAGAGCGAGGCGTAGACTTCTGGTGGGTGGACTGGCAGCAGGGCAACACATCCAAGATCCCTGGGGTAGACCCGCTCTGGGTGCTCAACCACTTCCACTTCCTCGACAATGGCCGTGGGTCCCAGCGTCCCTTGATTCTCTCTCGATTCGGTGGCCCCGGAGCACAGCGCTACCAGATCGGCTTTTCTGGCGATGCTATCATCACCTGGGACAGCCTGCACTTCCAGCCTGAGTTCACAGCTACTGCATCGAACATCGGGTACGGCTGGTGGAGCAACGACATTGGTGGTCATACGCATGGCTACAAGAACGACGAGCTCTACACACGTTGGGTACAACTTGGCTGCTGGTCGCCCATTCTGCGTCTTCATTCAGACAACAACCCTTTCAACACGCGCGAGCCCTGGCGGTTCAACGAAGAGGCGTGCACGATCGTCGAAGATACATTGCGTTTCCGCCACCGTCTCATCCCATACTTGTACACCATGAATGCGAGAAGTGCCTCCGACGACGAGCCGCTCGTTCAGCCCATGTACTGGGACTACTCAGAGTCTGACGAAGCGTACAACGTGCCCAACCAGTTCCGCTTTGGCTCAGAAATGATCGTGGCGCCCATCACCCAGCCCCGCGACGGGACTACACACCTCGGCGCAGAGAAGCTCTGGCTCCCAGAAGGCCGCTACGTCGACATCTTCACCGGCATCGTATACAACCGCGCCGGCGAGCTCACCGTCCACCGCCCTCTAAACTTCGTCCCTGTCTTCGCAAAAGAAGGATCCATAATCCCGCTCGACGCAGCCTACCGTCCCAAATCCGGATCCCCGAACCCAGAGGGTCTTGAGATCTTGCTTGCCGTAGGCGCAGACGGCTCCTTCACACTGATCGAAGACGACGGCACCGGCCACCTCGTCGACGACGGCGGTTTCTCAATCATCTCAGACGAGGGCCACGAGGAATCCGCCGACGACACCGTGCGCTTCGCACACACACCTATCACGTATAAGCAATCCACCGGCGTCATCAAGATCGGTCCCACAACGCCTGAAAACCCCGCCATCCCCAAGAACCGGTCTTGGAAGATCCGCCTCCTGGCTCACACACTTAAGAAGGGGGCTGAAATACGTTGCGTCACTACCTCACCCAGCACAAAGAAACATGCGAAGACGCTCTCGCACAAGATCACCCAGGAAAGCAACGGTACGCTCATCACGCTCGATGCAGTGCCAACTTCGCATACCATCCACATCGAATTACTCTCTTCATCTTCTCATTCTGCGGGTTCTTCCTCTTCGGGGCCGCAACTCGATGTTATCGACCCGAACCCCAAGCTTTGGGATATCATCGATAAAGCATGGATCGAGCTGGATAAGAAGTGGGATTACTGGAACTGCGTCAACAATGGGGAGCCAGTGTTGAATAAAGTGAGGGCGCTGCAGGGGAGGGGTATGAACCAGGCGTTGTTGGATGCGATGTTGGAGTTGTTGCTTGCGGATGAGCGGTATGCTGGAGAGGAGAAGGATGGGTGGTGAGATGGTAGATGGGTAGTATAGTTTAGCGTGCATAGTCGTTTCTCTACACCGTACATGCTGATAAAATTGAATGACCGTCCTGCAGTGAATCTGTTGCAGGACGGTCATTCAATTTTATCAGCATGTACGGTGTAGAGGAACGATGTAAATGCTTTCTTACGCGGAATATGTT